CCCCATTGGTACACAGTCCCCCCCCGCACCTCCCCCAACCCCAAATATAATCCACTTTGCAACCTTCATTGTGTACTCCTACGATAAACATAATGCCCTAAAATATAATACTTTTAAACTATTCTCTTGATTTTTTAAAATCTTTTTTAGTGTTAGAATAAGAAAGTAGTCTCTTTAAAGAGCCATGGTAGCACAATGGTTAAAGTATTTGACTACTAATGAATGGTTGGTGGTTCAAACCCACTTCTGCGAGAGAAAGACCTAACAGTCTGCTCTGGAAACCCTGTGGGGCTGTTCTTCTGTGTCCTCTGTTTCTCTGAGTCAGAACGGAGTCAGTGGCAATGAATTTGAGTTTGGTTTTAGAAGCCTGTTTTCTTGCATGTGAATAGAAAGAGGCAGGTGAGTTTTAATGTCATCCATCTGACAGGGCTGTGGAGATTGAATGAAATACGCATGGAAATGTTGTTACATGCCATTGTATCAGAACCAACAGATAGTTGATTCTCTGGTGGGTTTTTAGAGGCAGTAAATCATTCAGTAGAAGATTGCCCATCTTTACAGCTGGTTGGATCCATAATACCTGCCTTTGGGTTGGCAGAGTAACTTCTAGGTCACCAGATAGCTCATTGTAATAGTCAAAGCTTAGAACTAGTACGACGTGCTGGACACCATAGGTGGCAGCCTCATGGTCTCCAGCATCATGCTTTGTGGATGCATGTAAACCATGCTGACAGCTATAGGGTCGGTGCAACGTTGTCCTTATTTCCTGTCCCGAAGCACAGTGATTGCTTCTCTCGAGTGGTCTTTGCCTCTGGAGCAAAGCTTGCTCAGAGTTGTATGTCAGTCACTGAAGTCATTGGAAATGATGATTTGTTCTCTTCTTCCTCAAGTATGAACGAGGTTCTGCCACCAACTACATCACCCGAAACAAAGCCCGGAAGAAGCTGCAGCTGAGCTTGGCCGACTTCAGGTGAGGTTAAGACTACAGAGGGGTTCTCAGGGTCCCCCTCCTACTGAACTGCCCAAACACCAGGCGTCCTGGTGGTCTTTCTCTGTCTCACCCAGCCAGCTTTCAGTAAGCTTTGTACTTTGCCGAATGGGGGTGACGCAGCCCTGAGGTCATCAGAACGGGAGCCTGGACTGGATATTCTGTCCTCTTCTGCCACTTGTGCCCACTCCTCAGAGACTCAAATCAGTCAGACTCTTTTTGTAGCCTGTGAGCGCTGCATCTGGCTGGCTCTGATCCCCACAGCCACTTGGTCTACTGTTAGTCCTTTAAACACACTCAGCCCTGCCAGCTTTGTGGCCTTTTTCCTTTTTCTTAGGATGCTCTACCTCCTCTTTTGTGTTGGGAGAGCACATCTAAGAAGATTTCAGTGCCCCACAGTTCTGGATGCTGGAAGTTTAAATCAGGATCTCTGCCATGTTGGGTTGTTCTTAGAGGTCTTGGGGAGAATCAGTTCAGGGCCTCTTCCCTAGCTTTTGGAACCTTCCAGCCATCTCACATGTTCCTTGGCTACTGGTCTCTGCCTGTCTTTACAGATCTGTAGTTCTGTTTCTCTGCGCCTGTGTGTCTTCTGTTTTACAAGATACCTTTTTAGGACTGTCCTATTCTAGTAACAGCTCTGGTGGCCTAGTGGGTAAGGAGTTCTGCTGCCAACCCAAAGGCAAGCACTTTGAATCCATTAACTGCTGGGCCAGAAAAGAATGGGCAGTCTCCTCTCATGTGATTGTCAGCGTCTGAAAACCCGCTAAAGGGTCAGCTGTGCATCGGTTCCGACTCGATGGCACATAACGGCAACAACAGTCCAGTAAGCAATTATACTAATTGAACTGCTAACATCTTGAAATATCCTATTTAAGCAAAAAAAAAAAAAAAAGGTCACACTGGCAGATACAGATGACAGGAGCCCAACATATCTCTTTGGGAGAACACTTTAGACCACAGTCACCAAGGGTAAAGGGGTGACTGATTCAAGAAGGTTGGCAGTGTGTCAACAAGGCCTTTCCTGGCTCTCCTGGTAAAGCCTCTCTCAGTGTTCTGTGCTTCCTTCCTGGTGCTGTGACAGTCCACATTCTGTCTGGGCACTGGTCCCCCTGCTGCCTTAGAAGTTGAATCCTCTCAGGACAAGGACCTCATGCCCCATGTCCTGCCCCAGCCAGTGACCAACCACATGTTTACTGATGGCACAAATACGTGACTTCTGTCTTCCAGGCGGTTGTGCATCCTAAAAGGCATCTACCCCCATGAGCCCAAACACAAGAAGAAGGTTAACAAGGGTTCCACAGCAGCCCGGACCTTCTATCTCCTCAAGGACATCAAATTCCTCCTCCATGAACCCATCGTCAACAAGTTCCGGGAGTACAAGGTGAGAGGCCTGGGCCCTAGGCTTGGGCTGGTCCCCACCAAGGTCTGGGCCCCTAACTGAGGCCTCAGCAGGTTATATAACCTCCCTAAGGGAACCTGTATGTGGGACATCATCTGCCTCAGAGGACTGTCCAGAGGCTCAGCTGACTTTGTGTGGAGGTGATTGGCAAAGGCCTGGGCAAATGAGTGCATTCTCTCTGTGGTAACTTTTTCTTGAATCTTTCTGGAAAAAGTTTGGGGCTTGTTTTTGGTTCTGCAGCAGATGTGGTACAATCGCCGTAACAATGCACTCCGCCAAAAGAAACAGCTCCTCTTGTGAACCTTACTGAAATTGCTGACAAGAGTGGCCAACCTTTTCATTCCACAAATAGAAGTCATTAAGTTCTTGAATACCACAGGGAAAGCAGAAACCTACTTAAGCCAAATGCAAATCATTGAAAGGAGCCACATGCTGCCAAAGCCCTGGGTGGGGAGCCAGCCAGGTCCTGGCTGGAAGGGTGGAGTGCCACCTGCTGGCGATAGGCTGGCCAGCCGCTGCTGCCTAGATCCCTGCTGGCCCAGCTTACTGAGATTTGGTCCCATTTTGCAACTACGTGAACTTAACGAGTAGAAAGTGCATTGTCTGTGGGATATTGCAGTTCTGCTGCTTGAAGTGCTCGGAGGGAAGACGTTGGTTTAGGGATTGTCTTGTCCAACGACTGGCCTTGGCTCTACATGTTTGTGTGACCCAACCCCACACAAATTAAAGCCTGTTAGCAGCCATGCAGGCTGGCACTGGGGTGAGGGCCAGACCCCTGCCCCTTTTCCACCTTACTGAAAGGCACGTAACCTCCCTTCTCAGATGCGAAGTGGGGCTGCTGGGCCCTGCCTTTCTCACGCGTGAATGTGTAAGCTCTGACCCTGTGGAGGCCTAGTGAGTGCGTCTGCCAGTAGGTCTGGTGCTCAGTCACCCAGCAGGCTGTGCTGGTCTAACTGCTCTTTAGACAAGCTCAGTTCTGCTATTGCTACCAGGAGCTGGACGTCATTGAAATCCTGGGCAGTGGATGCTAGCCAGCTTCAGGAAGCTCCTAGGGTCCTCCTACCCATGTCCCCATCCTCCGTGGTAGGAGTTGAGGAAGCCCACAGCCCTGTTCATCAGCCCACCTTCCTGTCTTCTAGGTGTTTGTCCGGAAGCTCCGGAAGGCCTATGGAAAGAGTGAGTGGGGCACTGTGGAACGTCTGAAGGACAACAAGCCTGTCTACAAGCTCGACCACATCATCAAGGAGCGGTGAGCTGGGCACCAGCAGAAACCACCTTATGTCTGTTCACTTCTGGGCTCTGTCCCAGTCCCGAGTGGGGGTTTGGTGGGGCGTAATGTGACAACTCTGGTGGCCTAATAGTAAGAGGCTGAGCTGTAATCCACCAGCTGCTCTGCAGGGGAAGGATGGGCCGTCTCCTCCCATACAATTAACTGCGTCTGAAAACCACTGAAGGATCAGCTATGAGTCGGTTCTGACTTCAGTGGCACACAACAAGAACGATACAGGGATAAGGCCAAGAATGGACGTGGGGAGCTGGAACCCTTTTAGAGGTGGCATTCCATGAGATTAGGAGATGCTCTGGTAATTGGAAAACGGAATGAGTGCCTTGAGGAGTGCAGCCACACGAAGGGACCAGGGGGTAGGTGAGCGGCAGACACATCACAGGAGGTCTCTACAGGAAGATGTGTGAGCCAGGCCCCAGGAGCAGCACACTCTCAGGCTTGGCCTCTTCCTCACTCAGGACCTCTTTTTTACTACCTGGTTCTTCTTGGTTCACAAACTGGATGGAGCCTGGTGATGGGAGACAGAAAAGACATGAGAGAGGAAAGACCCCCACCTCCATGTGGGCGATTTTTCTGTTGTGTGTCTTAGACAGCCAGGGAGGAGAGGTTCCGCCTTAAAACAGTAGAATCTCCGAGTCAGTCTCCCCACTTCCATCACAGAGATAGTGGGGCTCGAGATTAGGTGCTCAGTGGGCAGCAGGGCTCATCACAGTCTGGTTAGTGGCTCTCTCTGGGTCCCCAGACCCCTCTGAACATTGCCCAACCTGATCAGATGACAGTGGCAGAGCCTGGCTTGGGGAATGGTGCCCCTTGGGGTGGCTGCTGGTAGGTGGCCGAGCCAGTGAGCACTGTCCCCACTGCACAGGTACCCCACCTTCATCGATGCCCTGCGGGACTTGGATGACGCCCTCTCCATGTGCTTCCTGTTCTCCACCTTCCCCCGCACCGGCAAGTGCCACGTGCAGACCATCCAGCTGTGCCGGAGGCTCAGTGTGGAGTTCCTGCACTATGTCATCGCCGCTCGCGCCCTGCGCAAGGTGAGCCCATGGCAGCAACGAGGGCCCCCCGCCTCCAGCCTGCTCCGCTGCCTCCATCTTCACCTGGCTTCCATTCCCTCAGGTCTTCCTGTCCATCAAAGGCATTTACTACCAGGCCGAGGTGCTAGGGCAGCCCATCGTCTGGATCACACCCTACGCCTTCTCCCACAACGTGAGTATGCACTGGGGAAAGGACTGTGCCAGTCGGCCATCTTGTCCTCTCCCCTGGCTCCTAGCTAGGCATGGTGGGGGTGGGAGGTGCTTTTCTGTGAAGTCCAGTGTGTGCTGGGTCCAGCTGAGGGTCAGAGGGTGGAGTATTATGCAGCACTGTCATTAGGTTTGTGGGTACCGCTCAACTCTGTACCTAACACAGACATTAAGAGCTCAGTTGCTAACTTAAGGTTGGTGGTTCAAACCCACCTAGCAGCTTTTCAGAAGAAAGACCTCATATTAAGGTTATATCAAGATTAGAGCCTAGAAAACTCAGCAGATTATTTTGCTTTGTCACATGTAATCATTGTGATGGGAAATTGATTGAGTTCAATCTTCGGAGGAAGGCTTCAGTGAGGAATTAAGATGAGGTTTCCTTTAAAAGTGTTCAGTGCCTGGTCCGGTGGGTGCTGAACAGACCCTGAGTTCTGTCTGCATGGCCAGTGTCATGCCCTGGACGGGGACAGGTGCCAGCGTACAAGCCCTGGTCCCTGCTCCGTGAGGCTGGCATTGAGCCCTGGAGCGTGCCCACCCTGCCCCAAGGCAGGCTGGTGAGCTGTGGCTCTAGAGGGAGGCGCACAGAAAAACACCTGGCCGAAGGTGTTGCTTATCAGTCATCTTTTTATTTTCTTGGTTAATACTGCTTTATCTACAAAGTTCATATAAATTGTTTTTCACACTGGATCTTCCCCATTTCCTTCACTCCCCCTCCACTCATCAAATTGAGTGACCCTAAGATTAACCCCCTACTCTCCGCCCATCCTCACCCCTCTGTTCCTCCCCTCCCCCTGCTTGGATCTTCATGCTTGTTCTAAAATAATGGTCTTACACAGTATTTGTCCTTATGGGACTGAGTTAGTTCACTTAGCGTAATGCTCCAGTCTGCCCAAGTTAAGTAGTGATCATCATTGCTCCTGTCTGCTGCGTAGCATTCCATCATGTGAATGTACTATAATTTCTCAATCCATTTGATTGTGGTTGGACATTTGGGCTGTTTTCCATGTAAAATGTGGAATGCTTCACAGATTTTCCTGTCATCCTTGTGCGGGGGCCATGCTAATCTCTGTATCGTTTCGATTTTTATGTGCTGCTGAAACGAGCAATTGGTCATCTTTTTTAAAAACACTGGGTGTTATTAACCAGGCTCCATTGAAAGAAATCCCACTCTTGCCTCTGGCCTATAGGCGACTTTGCCGCCTGGCTTCTCACCCTTCCTCTGGGGCTGCATTTTGCCCACCCTCCTCCTTGCTCTGTGAGTGAGAATTGGTGCTGTTAGTGGAGAGCAGGCCCTACAGGCCCGGTGGACAGTGTATTTGCCAGCCAGTGTACCAGGTGCTCCAGGACCCCGTGGCTCTTCTCACTACCAAGACTGGTGGTGGGAGAGTGAGGGTCAGGCCCCCTTGGGGATCTGGTGGGGAGATTGTGGTTCATCTGCGAAGAAGAGGCGAGCGTAATTCCTGCTCTGGGGGCGGATGTGGGTCCTCTACCCCCCTTCATCCTCCTTCCTCCTCGCCTTCCTCTCCGGCCCTCCTCCTTCCTCTCTTGGCTCCCTCACCCCCATGCTGCTTAGAATCGTCTTTGTGTGTGTGCGCAGGGTGTTGGGGTGGCAGGCCTCCATGCAGCTGGTCTTGGCCTTGGTGGGGGAAGGGTGCTTCCCTGCCCGGCTCCCTGCTGCCACTTCGGTTCAGCAGGAAGATGCAGAACAGGGAGTGGGGAGTGGCAGAGTCCCCGGTGTGCCCCCACCTTCTCCGGGAGGCTGTGGTCACTTGAGAACCCAAACGGACGTTACAGCGGTGTCATACTGTGGAGGTCTTCAAGGGCAGAGACTTGTGTAGGACAGGTGCAGTCGGGAATGTGGGCATCTTGTGGCCCCAAAGTGGAGACACAGCTCCCAGGCCCAGTGTGGCTGGCGCGGACAGGCGACTGATCACTACCGCTCTTCCCGTCCGGGTCCCAAGGCCTGCGGCGCTGGCTCAGCCTCCTTGATGTAGGTGGCAGTGCTGTGTGGTCTGGTCTCAGGGCCAAGATGAGCATTTCGATCTTTGCTGCTGGCCTGGAGCCCTGGAGGCTCCACAGGGTTCAGGCCACCAGCCTTTCCTGGGTTCTCGTTGCTGGCTCGGGCCCAGGGTGCTCACCCCATAGTTCCTGCCAGGTCATGGAGTGTGAGGTCCGCCCACTGCTCCCCTGGGTGGAGGGAGTCCAGGGATAGTTCTCGGCTCTGGACAGCTGCTTTCTTTGCGTGTTCTGGCCCTGGAGGCACATGGCCAGCTACAGAGAACAAGGGAAAGAAAGGAGAAGGCCTGATTCCACCTCTTCACTGACAAGACTCGGGATGGGGCAGAACTGGCTTGGGTGGGCAGCCAGTTACCGGATCACCAGGTCCAAGCTTCCTCCCCTCATAGCTCCCTTTCATGCCTTGAGGTCGGGAGCGCCCTTCAGGACAATGATCAGAAGATCATTGGGACCTCGTGTCTAGGGTCTCGCTTGTGCCTGAATGCCCCTAGGTGGGGACATGCTGTTTCACCCCCTCCCAGGGTGCTGACCTTTGAAAGCAAAGCTGCTCTTGAGCCCTGGTCCTCTCATCAGCCAGCCCACCCTCAGTGGTGTGTCTGTTCCTCCTTTGGCATCACACCTGGAGCCTCACTGCTGATGCCCTCCTGTCTCCTGCAGCACCCGACAGATGTGGACTACAGGGTCATGGCCACCTTCACCGAGTTCTACACTACCCTTCTGGGCTTTGTCAACTTCCGCCTCTACCAGTCCCTCAACCTCCACTACCCCCCCAAGGTAGGCCCTGTCCAGCATCTTCCCCCTGGGATCCAGGGATGTAGGAGTGAGGGACTGTGGGCACCCTCTTCCTGCTCTGACTCACCTCTTCTCCTAGCTCGAGGGACAGACACATGCCGAGTTGAAGGCCAGCGAGGGGTCCTATGCACTGGACTCTGAGAGCTCTATGGAGGTGAGTGAGAGAGGCTTCAGGTGTACCAGCCCAGCCTCCCTACCAAGATGAGTACATCTAGGGGCTGACCTTGGACTTGAGTAACAGCTGTGGCCACTCGGCTGGTTTCTGAGCTTGTTATAGGAGCCCATTCCACCAGTGGTCCAGTATTACATGTCCCAGTCCCCTGCCGGTAGATAGTCACCATGTTTCTTTTTGGTAGAAACTTGCTGCCCTGAGCGCCAGCCTGGCACGTGTGGTGGTGCCCACTGAAGAGGAGGAGGCTGAGATGGATGAGTTTCCCGCTGATGGGGTGAGCGCTGGAGGGCATCGGGCCGCCCCCCTAGGCCTGAGGGTCCGGGAAGGGAGCTGGGAGGGGCTCCCCTCCACCCTTGCCCTCCAGCGGGCTGTGGTGGGCCTGGTGGTACAAGGCCTGGCCTCTCATGTGGCAGGAGATGGCGACACAGGAGGAGGACCGCAGGAAGGAGCTGGAGGCCCAGGAGAAGCACAAGAAACTCTTCGAGGGCCTGAAGTTCTTCCTGAACCGCGAGGTGCCCCGCGAGGCCCTGGCCTTCATCATCAGGTGGGAGGCCGGGGGCACTGGGGCTGGGGGGACAGCACCGGATGCTCATTGGTACAGGAGAGTCACCACTTCATGAGGCTGTTGTGAGGACAGCAGCCAGCACGTCCGTTTAACCAGTGGCAAGATTTGGGGTGTTAGTTCAGACAGGAGCGTGCTGGGTGATGGGAGGTCATAGGCTGGTGGCCTGGGGACTCAGCATCTCATGCCAGCACCCTGGGGTGTTTTCACTGCCTGTAGGAGTTTTGGGGGGGACGTGTCCTGGGACAAGTCTCTGTGCATCGGGGCCACCTATGACGTCACAGACCGGTGCATCACCCACCAGATTGTGGACCGGCCAGGGCAGAAGACCCCTGTCATCGGCAGGTAGGCCTCCCAGGCCCTCTGCTTGGTCCCCCGTGCATGTTCCTGGGCGTAGAGGCCTGGTGCTGGTGTAGCCCATGCCTGACACTGGTCCTCACACACTGTGCCACAGGTACTACGTGCAGCCTCAGTGGCTCTTTGACTCCGTGAACGCCCGGCTCCTCCTCCCTGTAGAAGACTACTTCCCTGGGGTGCCACTGCCCCCACACCTCTCACCGTTTGTGACCGAGAAGGAGGGTGACTACGTGCCACCCGAGAAGCTGAGGCTGCTGGCCCTGCAAAGGGGAGAGAAGCCAGGTAAGCAGGCAGCTGGGGGACGTCTCCTGAGAGACGAGGAGACTCCTCGGAGCTGAGCAGGGACCCGGGGACTCAGAGGGCTCGTCGTTCTGGCTCCAGAGGTGGCATGTTCCAGGGAGCAGGACAGCAAGGCCACAAGTTTTGACTGGACTTCTGACCTCCGTGGAGTAAAGTTTAGGGAAAATGCACATTCCCTGTTAGGATTTTGAAGCTCACATACTTTGGGTACATGGCCGGGAGGGACAGGTTCTTGAAGAAGGACTTCATGGTCGGAAGGGTGGAGGGATAGCTAGGAGAGGAAGACCCTGGATGAGATGGATTGATAAAGTGACTAGGGCAGTGGGGGTACATGTGTCGGAGTCAGTGAGACTGGCTCAGGACAGGGCAGGCTTCAGAGCTGTTGTACACAGGGTCACTGTGGGTTGCAGGCAATTCAGTGGCACATAACAACTCAAGACACGTGGGAGGAGATTACCCATTTTTCTCTGGCACAGCAGCTGATGGATTCAAACTGCACGCTTTTGGGTTGGCAGTGCAACGCTTTAGCACTAAACCACCAGAAGGTCCCATTTTTACCCTACAAATGTCAGATCAACGTTAATTCGATTCCACGTAACTGAGCAGAAAAGTGAGCTAGAATTGTCCTTGGGTTTGACTCAGGTGTCACAAACTTGGAATTAGGATGGCGGTGAGGGGTGTACTTCGGGGAGGGCCCACTGGGACAGCCCTGCTCTGCCTTTGGGATGCCTGCTGGTGATGGGCCCTAAGAGGGCAGGACTGGGCTCACTTCTCACCACCCTATTGTTGACAGGAAACTTGAATGAATCCGAAGAGGAGGAGGTGGAGGACAATGAAGGTGAAGAGGAGGGAGAGGAGGAGGGAGAAGATGAAGAGGAGGAGGAAGAAGAGGAGGCTGACTCAGAACAGGAGGAGGAGACCCGGCTGGCAGCCCTGGAGGAGCAGAGGATGGAGGGGAAGGTACTGGGGCACTGGACCAGACAGCCTCAACCCAGGGAGCAGCCCCGCCGGCCTTCATGGTGTCAGCCCAGGGGGCAGGTGGGAATGAGGTGCCCTTGTACCCACGGTGTCCACTCTGTCTCCAGAAGCCCAGGGTGACGGAAGGCACTGTGAAACTGGAGGACAAGCAGCGGCTGGCCCAGGAGGAGGAGAACGAGGCCAAGCGGCTGGCCATCATGATGATGAAGAAGAGAGAGAAGTACCTCTACCAGAAGATCATGTTTGGCAAGAGGCGCAAAGTGAGAGAGGTAGGTTCACGCGCCAGGCACAGCTGCCCTCGTGGAGTCGGGGGACTGCCACCCTGGTCAGTCCTTCAGCCCTTCCCTTCATCTCCCATCTCCAGCTTTCCCTGAAGCTGACAGGTTCGTGGGGAGAATCCGAGCCCACTTTCCCAAAGACCCACTTAACCCAAGTTCAGCGAGTAGAAGAGCTGGGGAGGCATTCCTTAAACTGCTCTGTGTTGCGGTTTATCCTTCTTCACTAAGCCAGACACGCTGATAGTAAAACAGACAGGAAAAAGACCAACAAAGGCGTGCACCTCAAAACACTTAGCAGATGGCCCGGGTGTAGTCTCTGCTCCCCTTGCGCCCTGTAATTACAGCCCTGGGTTAGTTTTGGGGGTGTGTGCACACACGTATACATGCAATAACTAGGTGTGATTTTATGGACGTCATACTGCAGGCAGGTTGCTTTTATTTAACCACAGCCTGTCTTCCTGATGTCCTGTGTATTCAGCCTGCCCCCTCCTGATTAGATTAAGCTGTGTTCTTCCACTCTTCCCAGCATCCTTGAGACTGTCCCTGCAGGTGAGGTTTCTAGGCGTAGGATTAATGCTAGAAGGCGTTTCCTAGCATAGGCAGTCAAGTGAGGAACAGTTAGGTACGGTCTGTATCCAATGTCAGCTAATCACACATTTGACTGAGAGTCATTTTCTAGGAATAAAAACATGAAACACTTCCAGGTACGCTAAGACGCCTGTAACGTAATACTACCCAGTAAGAATAACAGTCCTGTTTACACGTGTTTTGGAAAGTAGTGCTCTGTCATACATCACTGTATGACGCTCGGGTTTTTAATGTAACAAGCTTCACTCGGGTGGGTTTGCCACTAAGACTAGGTTCTTAAGGCGTTTGGAACCAAAGGTTGCCTGGAGCCTATGCTAGATGGCCCTGGGCTGAGGGGTATCCCAGGTTGTAGCCCTGTCAGTTACCTGCTAGGTTCTGAAGATGTCCCAGCTTCTACCCCTGCTGGGAACCAGGTGGGCACAAGTTCCCAGGCGTCTCTGGACCTTCTTAACGCAAAATGTTGGGCCCATCATATAATAAAAAGCTGGCAGGCAGGCAGCCTGATGTTGTTCACATTTTTTTTTTTCTTCCCGGAGTGATTTGCCTGTCACATACACACGCCCCACGGGCTAATCCCTCTTCCTCCTTCCTCTTCACAGGCCAACAAGCTGGCGGCAAAGCGCAAAGCCCACGATGAAGCGGTGAGGCGTGAGAAGAAAGCAAAGAAGGCAAGGCTGATGTGAGAGCCAGCGGCTCAACGTGATAAAGATGGACCAGAGGCCCAGGCGCCTTCTGTTCTCTTCATCCCTCGTGCCCCTGCTCTCCTGGCCCCCCAGGGTGTGTCTGTCAGCCAGTGGTCACTGCTAGAGGAAGGCCTGGCAGAAAAGAGTCCCCTGTGGCCAGCTCGGTTTGGTGGTCCCAGGAAAGGAGGCACCAGCCATTTATTCACACTGACTTTTCCTGTCTCTCATCTCACAGTTGGACACCTGATTTTCAGGGTGCTGCAGTGGGGTGAGGAAGGGGGAGCATTTATTAAACGGCTGTGGTTTTGCAGCCAATTAGATTCTGTGTGTCTGAACTTTGCTTGGTTAGGGACAAGTCAAGGAGCACCAGGTAGCAGGTTGGGCCAGTTCCCCAGAGGACTTTGCCAGTGCTCTGAGGTCCCTGGGACCCCTCCAAGCCTGCCAAGAGTGGGGGCAGAGTTTCTGAGCTTGGGCTTTTTCTGCCCTCAGTTTGCATCCCGTTCCAGGTACTGTCTGTCAGGAAGCAGATCTTTCCTCTGTGAAACATGCCTAGTAATTCTGGAATCTTTCTCACCAGGACACAGATGTGGGAGTTCAGAGGTGGCACACGGGTGGGTGACACGCTGACACACAGTGCTTGGTTGGAGGTGACTGATCCACATCGCTTCCTTCTGAGTCCTGGAGGCAAAAGCCAGCTGGGTTGAGGACACCGTCCCCCCCCCCCCCGCTGTCCCTTGGGGTCAGGACTGTTGAGTAAGTCCCAGCGTGTCCCCTAAGGTGTCCCCATTGTGATGGCAGCTGGCCAGGGCTCACTTTGTTCCAACTCCTCCTGGTTGAGCGGGGAGCTTGTGAGCAGGGTGTATAATGCCCTTGAGAGCAGGGTTTTAGCTGGGATTGGCTTGCCTGCATCGAATCCCTAGGCCCCAACCTGTCCGTGCCCTTGGGCTTAGGGAGGTGCGGTGTTGTAGTTGAGAGACCTTGAGCTCAACACTCAGTTCCCAGCTCCAGCCAGGCCTCACTGCGGTTGTGGGTGAAAGGCTCTGTCCCGTGTCTACACCCTACGTGCCTGTGGAATGAGAGGGACTTCCCAGGGCTGGGGCAGGATCAGGACTTCTGGAATAAGAATTTGTCCTCCTTTGGGGCAACTGTGCACCCCAGTTCCCAGGCAGGCCCATCAGATACGGAAAAAGCCGTGGCAGCTGTGCTGATGTGGAATTTTCCCCATTCCAGAGTCGCCCAGTGATGGCGGGGGCAGCAGGCTCCGACGTGGCCCCGGCCCCCCCATGGGTGGCCAACTGGTTCTGCACTGCCCACAGCTGAGGCAGCACTGAGCCAGGGATGTCAGGCCTTAATCCCCACCTTGAACCAGGAGGGAGTCCTGGATGTTTATCTACATCCTGAACATCTTTGCTTGGCCTGAAAGAAGTGAGGCAGGTGCGACCCCCAAGGTGTGTAGCCCAGGGCAGTTCTGAGCACCCCTCGGCATCCTGGCATCCTTCCCTCATAAATGTCAAAACTGCATTCTCTCACTTTGGAGCAGAGGGCACTTTGATGGAATCATCAGAGGGTTCTCCACACCCCTCAACAAGTTAAGTGGGCTGCCTACTCTTCCCAGCGTCCCACTGTCTCCCCATCCCATTTCCCAGGCTTGAGCTCCCTCCTGGGCTGGGGGCTTGGCAGGGGGACAATGGTCCCCTTGGCACGCCTGGAGACAAACGCTCGTTGTTGGCCTGGCAGCGGGGGCGCAGCGTTGCGCCCCAGCGCTCTGAATGCAGCTTCTGTGCGTCCAGGCGGGCTCAGAGGGCCCCAGGGCTCGGGGCTTCCATTGGCCACAGCGCCGGGGGCAGGGCCAGGCCAGCGGCCGTACCTGGCTGGGAGGGAGCGGGCGGGGGCGGGGGCAGGGCCCTGGGCTGGCGGACGGGGGGCCTGGCGGGTGCGCCCGCCGCCCAGTTAGCGCGCCCGGGCGGCGCGGCCCGGGCCCAGCAAGCCACGCTAAGCCCGAGAAGGACGGGGACCAAGGTAAGTTGGGGCAGGCACACTACCTCAGCCCTCAAAAAAAAAAAGGGGCCCTGTGGTCAAAATCCAGGTTCATGCGGAAGTTGGAAGGATGGGTGAAGGAGCAGGTGCCACAGCACTGGGCGCTCCTCCAACGTTGCAGGAAGGGTGTGGGGGTTGCTGTGACTTCAGATGACTTAGGTCGTTGCCCCGTTACCCTAGGTTTCTTCCTACAGACCCCTTTTCCGGGGTTGTCCAGACTCTGATGCTATGGTGGGTGGGGTTCGAGAAACCTGCGCTGAGCCAGAATCTGTTAATGATTAATCTGCTTAGAAGCCGTGGCCTGAACCCTGGAGGGGGAGGGCTGGCTGCTTCCAAGCTCTCCACAGACGGGGCAGGGGTCTGAGCACAGAACTGGAGTAAGGAATGGGTCCCCTTTGCTTGCTGGCGGCTGTGCCCTCTACCCTAGAAAGACGAAGTCACCAGAGAGGCTTAGAGAGGTGAGGGTGATAACAGCTTTAATGCCCAGGAAATCCAACTCCCTGTGCCAGCACCCAAGAAAGGGCCCCATTGGCTGTGCACCCCCACCCCAGTGCCAGGCCGGCACTTGATAACAGCTAAGTGCAGAGTCCTGTGGTCCTGTCCAGTGGGGACCCCTTCCCCAGATGTCCAGTGCAGAATTGGAGCACATCTGGCTGCTGTCAGTCACCCACGTCATCAGAGGGAGGGAGGCAGGGGGAAGAGACCTGACATCTGATCCCAGGTTGCTGTGGTAACAGGTGCTACAGGAATCTGCAGGAGGAGAGGACCATGTGGAGGATGATCCAGTGGGGAGAATCCAGCCACCTCTCATACCAGGCCCAGAGAGGGCAAGCCAGGGCCACACAGGAGGTGAATGAAGACTGGGGAGCCCCCACCTGGGGCTGTACCTCCTAACTACATAGTCTGCTCCCACTAGCAGTACTGGAAAGGAAGTATCCCATTCTCTAGATGGGGAAACTGAGGCCCAGAGAGACTTGCCCAAGCTTACATAGTTTACGGGTGGCTGATTTGACCTCAAGTGGTCCTGTCTCAAATCAGTTCTGCTCAGCTCCTGTCTGTCCCCCCTGGGATCCTCTTCTTTTAGATCTGCCGAGGATACCCCAGACTCCAGCTAGGGAACCCTCCCCCTCGCCTCCCTGGCTCCCAGCTCTGCCTGACACTCAGGGGGTGGGCATGATCCGAGACAACAGAGCCCTGTTCCCAGCTGCCACCTCGGCCGCCTCTACGGGCCGCTGGCTCGGGCCACGCGTGCCTGAAGGAAGCTCCCTGTGGAGGAAGAAGCCAGCTGCTTCTCGCCTGTCCCTTTTTCTCCTAGTGGGTCTGATGGCCTCTTGTCACTCATCAAAAGAGGAGTGTGGGCCTGTGGACCCTCCCCTTGGGCCCTGACGGACTGAGGTACCACTTCAGGGAAGAGTTAGCTAGTGACATGCAAATGGTTGCGTTTCAGGCAGGGCAGCTGACTTGGCAAGGGCTGAGTAAGGGGCCCCTGCCTGCCGTGTCTCCTGACAAGAGAAGGCAGACAAGAGAAGTTTGAAACAGGGCTGCTCATAGGGGTGGTCGGAGGGGTGCAAGTTGGGAGGAAGCAGGTGGCCAAGGACATGTGCTTTCCTGTTAGTTCCAGAGCAGAAGTAGGATGAGAGGTGAGGGGCATCTCTGAGATCTGGCTGGACATCACAGACTTGGTCCTGGCTGCTCCCCGATTGGCTGCGGGGCCCTAGGTTACTCCTGCCTTCTTTGTTTCTCAGCCTCCTTACTTGTGATAATGGGAAATTTGGGGCAACTGAAGTTTGGAGCGTTGGACATAGAGGCCCTTAGAGAGGGATTGTGGGCTTTCAAAACCCGGCACCCCAGGCTCCTCCTTCCCTGCAGGGAGGCCTACGAGAGTAATGGGAATTCTGCTGAGCTCTGGTGGTGTAGTCTGTGGAGGGGTGCAGTGCTAATCCAGAGTCAGCACCCCTGGTGGTTCAAATCTACCATTTGTTGCCAATGCAGAGGCACAATTTAAATTCATCAGCTACTCCATGGGAGAAAGGTGGGCGTCTCCTCCTGTGTGATTTACAGCCTCTGAAAACCCACTGGAGAATCAGCTGTAAGTTGGTCAGGAATCAACAGTAATGAGTTTGAGTTTGTTGGTTATTAAACATTATAAAACATGACTGAAAGTCCTTTTGCAGGGGTTGGGGAGCTGTGTGCAAATGGATTTTGTTTAACTTCTAATTGAGGTTGGTGATTCATACCTCATTGGTGGTGCCACAGATGAAAAGGCCTGGTGAGCTGTTCCCATAAAGTTTACAGCCAGAAAAAAAAGCTCAGTGGAGCCGTTGGGCTTACCAAGTGAACTCATTGTCCGTAACAATGGCTTGGTTTGGTTAACAAGACAGAGTGCATACCAAGTGCTGGACAAAGGCCTGGCATGTCTGGGTCCACTGGCTCTTCATAGCAGCCCTGGGCGGGGGGGCTTGTAGTACCACTTATACAGTTGAGGAAACGTGTAGGGACGTCACTTGCCCAGCTAGGGAGGAGGAGGAGAAGCATTCACATCCGGGGCGTCTTCAATCCTGTGGATCCAAAGGTAAAGAGGTAGTCAAGCACATCGAGGGTACCAAGCCAAGCAGGTGCTTAAGGACTGAGTTTCAAAACGGCATATGATTAAATACTTTAATAGAGAAAAGCACACGACTTCCTGCTCCAGACAGTCCCAAAGCGAGGGAGCTCCTTGTCTCTGCAAGTCCCTGCCTTGCCATTCCTGAAGGGAGGACTGGCTTCATTCTTTTGTACCTTCGACTGTGCAGCCCACCCGTCCAGTTCCTTCTCTGTCCCAGGCTTCTCCTCTCCCAGCCCCCTTCCCCACTCGGGATGATGTGGCTCAGAGAGGGTAGCATGCCTGCCATCATCACACAGCGGGCTGCGTCACTCACACCAGCCACTTGGCCTATTCCTCTGGCCAGAATTCTGTTTTTCTAAAATGGAAATACTT